TTCACACTACAGCTCTGTGCTCTGCAACTTTGGTGCAAGGGACCTCAGGCCCAACTTTCATTTGCAGAGCCTTCCTTGTGGAAGACCGCTTTATCACTTCCTTATTACACTTGTCTGTAAAGCAATAAGAACAGCCACAAGATAATTGCATTTGTCTGTAAAACAATTTGTTGGTAAAACCATAAGAACAGCCATCAGAGAATTGCTGCTTTTTCCCTGTGTCTTTAACAAGAGCATGTCAGGCAAAAATTCAACAGGTGCAGTGTTTTGTGGCAGGCAGGGACAGCTGCAGGGAAAGCATCACAGGCTTAATTTCTGTCTGCTGTGAAGCTGTCAAAGTGCAGGAATCCAGTCCAGAAAACAGGTGAGAGCAGCAATTAACAAGCATGAAAAAAACCAAACTCAGACGTGGGTTTCTCTCTGTCTTGAGATGTGACTGATGTAGTCCTACCTGTTAGGACAGACTTGGGCTTATTATGTGTGAAGAAAAGGGAGGTTTAAACGTTTTAATCAATAGATAAATTCACCTGGGTCACTACTGAATTCTAGAAAAGTGGGTGGGGCAACAGAGTAACTTAAAGCACAGTGTGGGAAGGTGGAAGAAGGGGCCATGAGACGACTTCTTCCTCAGTCATTTTTCTCCTAGTCTCAGTTACTTCCAGAAAAATGGTTGGCGTTTCAGGGAGAAAAGTGTGACTACAGAACAGTTCAATATCCACCCCCCTTCTACTCCATATATGCTGTGCTTTAAATAGTCCCACCTTGTGGTGGAAAGTTCCATCAAGTTGCAGCTGAGATGCAGTGACCCCCATAGGGTTTTGAAGGCAAGAGATGAGCAGAGGTGGTTTGCCATTGCCTGCTTCTGCATAGCCACCCTGGACTTCCTTGGTGGTCTCCCATCCAAGTACTAACCAGGGCCAGCCATTGACCTTGGCTTTATAGGAGTTTAGTACAAGCCACATTCTTGAGATCTGCTGCCAGGCCTCTGTGTTGTTCCTTGAACTTCTCCTTCCTGGAGATTTTAAAGTATTTCAGGAGCACAGCCAAGGTGAGCAAGGCAAAGCCAGCTCAACGTGCCTTTGATGCTTTGGGAGGTGGGACAGGGAGGGGGGGGAGCCCTGGGTAACATACTTCTTTTAGTGGTTTGAAAGGCTTCCATGGAAAGCTGATTAGTATTATAATTAGCACATTTTCCTATGACATAAAAGGAAACTGCAGCTGATAACGTGCTAAGAAGAGTCAGCCTGTCAAATTTAGTTTCCAGATGAGGTTGATTGCATCTAATTTTTTTAAGCAGTTAGTAAAAATAGGAAGTGGCAAACTCTTTCACTGCTAAATGCGCGGTCAGACGGCTCCTTGAAGCGGGGTTCATGCGAAAAGCCCTGAGCAGAGAAGGACACAAACGCCATTGGGTAGAGCAAGAATTTCAGCTGCCAGATGTACAACAACTCTAGAACCCAGTCTGTTTGTTTGTTTGTTTTGGGGTGAGGTGCCCCAGTGTGGTTTCTCCCATAAGCCTGTTTCTTGTGGCTCCTGAGAGGATTGCTATGCCCTCCTATTGTCATGACTGTTCCTGGGTTGGATCCCCACCCCCAACCTTTTCAAAAGAATTTTTGAGAGCTTTGTCATTTCTGTTATCGCCAAAACTGACACATTACACGTGCCATTTGCCTGGTGGGTTGCCAGGGGACGGAAGAGAGACTTTACTGTACTCTCCGCCTGCTTTCTGAATGACTAAAAGGACTAGGGTTGCCAACTTTCAGGTGGTCAATCACACAAGAATGGAAACACAGCAAAGGCAGTTATGCAAACAAATAAACAGAACAATCTGTCAACTCTGTACAAATTACCCTAGAGACTTCCGTCTTCTTATACAGTTCTAATTGCAGCAACAATGCACTCAAATGGTTTTGCCACCGTGCATGAATAACATCTACCCCAGTTTGGGACGCTTTTTAGCTAGCCAACACGGACTGGTGATCAGAGCCTGATACCTAGCTGTTTGGAATATATTTGCAGAATACACATCATTTTGAATCTTACCAGAGCTTGGTGGGCTCCATCACTAAGGAAAGTGGCCTGATGAAGCCTTAAGAAACGGCTAAGCAACCTAGGTGTGCCTTTGCCGCTCCTTCGGTTTGCGCTGCGGCTATTCCTGAGCCCGTGCCATCCGCTTTGTGTTTTCTATCTGAAACACCTCTCTGCATCATGAGCCAGTGACCGCACCATTCTAAAGAAGGACTTGTACTTTAAAGGACTATTAGGTCACCATTCAACTGGTGTAGATGTTATTCATGCATGGTGGCAAAATCATTTGTTGTGTGTGTTGTTTATAGTTGCAATTAGAACTATATAAGAAGATGGAAGTCTCTAGTGTAATTTGTACAGCACGACAGATTATTCTGTTTAGTTGCTTGCATAACTTTCAGGTGGTGACTGGGGATCTTCCATTTTTACAACTGAACTCCAGACTACAGAGATCAGTTTCCCTGGAGAAAATGGCTGCTTTGGAGGATGGAGATGGCATTGCACTTTGCTGAGGCCCCTCCCCAGGGTCCACCCGAGGGTTGCCTGCTCTGTTTTAGGAAATACCTGGAGGTCTTGGGGGTGGAGCCTGGTAAGGGCAGAATTTGGAGAGGGAGGGGATCTCAATGGGGTATAATGCTATAGACTCTATCCTCCACAGCAGCCATTTTCTCCAGGGGAACTGATCTTGGTTGGCTGGAGATCTTGGGGTGTCACCTGGAGACTGGCAACCCGACTCCACCCCCAAAACCTCCAGGTACTTCCCAACCCAGACCTGGTAACCCTAGGAAAGGCCTCACGGTCTAAACCCTGAATCTCTGTGTGTGTGTTGAATGGAGACCATCAGAGAGGGAAAGAATGTGTATTGATAGGGTAAGAAGGGACTGCCTACATTTAACTTCTGCCGATTAGGAGCAAACCCAGCACTGAGCAACAAAACGTCTGTTCCCAGATTTTGTTGCTATGTCTTCTTTTCTCAAAGTCTTGGTGGAGCTTTCCTTACCTGCCACACTAGTAGACCACAGTTTTAACACCTCCGTTATGTCATTAGCACTAGACTGTGCTACGGACTGTACAGTCACTCTTAAAACAAACTGCATCTGCTCAAAATTTACAAGGATTAATTGTTTTAATCTCACCAGGCAACACACAACTGTGCGTGACCACTGTGCTAACACAATGCAGTGGAGTACAATTCAATTGTGTGAACGTCCTTTGCAAGGAAGAGAGTTTGAATGCCAAACCAGGAAAAGATAATCTCATCTGGGCACAGGAACATTTGTAGGTTTAGTGCCGTTGGTGGGAGGCAGATGCTAGATGTTTAAGCATATCTAAACTGAATGTTGCTTTGACAGTCAATAATGTAACTGATCCGTGAGCTGAATCCTACCAGTTTTCCCTTTGTGCCAAACGAAAGAGGGTACATGAGCCACAGAAAACATTTTTTCTATTGTTGATATGCACATATGACGATCCATTCAATTGATGATTATTGCTGCAGCCCTAAGACCACTTTCCTGAGAGGAAGCCCCACTGAATAAAATGGGACCTATGCCTGAGTAGAGCAGTTTAGGATTGCTTTCTATGCAGGAAAGCTGTTTTAACAAAAACATTTCAGTTGTTATAATACATATATCAGTTCTGCCTTTGTGAAGGCATCCTCTGTTGCTGTTCCTTATAACATGCCAAGTGATTCTTACAAGAGTGTTCCCTATACAATCTTTTTATTTGGGATGATTTTTAGTAACTCAGTTACAGACATGGGTGGCATTTCATTTGGGATATAGGGTTTGTTAAAAGGTTGGTGTTCATGGAGTTTTTGGTGTTTATAACATCTGGGTTTATAGCTTTAGAACCAGTGGTGTGGTTAGATAATCCTTGACCTTTGACTTAATGGTCTTATGCCCCCTTCCTTTAGATGGTAACGTATATTTCAAATGTGAAACTACATTTCAAATATGAAACTATAGCTTGCTTTGGGGGCCTCTCTGTTGAACTCATGAACTGGGGCCTTAAATTTCCACCCCAAATAGGGTTGCCAACCCCCAGGTGGTACCTGGAGATCTCCTGTGGTTACAACTGATCTCTGTTGTCTGGAGAAAATGGCTGCTTTGGAAGATGAACTCTATGGCATTATATGCTGCTGAAGTCCCCTCCCCAAACCCCTCCCCTCCCAGGCTCCACCCTCCCCAAATCTCCAGGTATTACCCAACCCAGAGCTGGCAACCCTAACCCCAAAGTCCAACCCTGATGGCATCACCGCTGGAACCTTCTTCTTCGAGCTTTGGTTGGGGTGTTACCTGACTATAATAAATCAAATAAATGATTGAAAAGTCACCACACAAGTCTGTGGGGTTCTCAACCCCCCCCCCCCAATGCTACTCCTGGAAAACTTGCCCTGGCCTGGAGGGCCCAGGCTAGCTGGATCTTGTCAGAACTTAGCTAAGCAGGGCCAGCCCTGGTTGGCATTTGGGTGGGGGACCACCCAGGAAGTCCTGGGTCATAGCCCAGAGGCAGGTAATGGCCAACCACCTCTGTATGTCTCTTGCCCTGAAAACCCTGTGGGGTCACCATAAGTTGACTGCAACTTTTGACGGCACTTTCCACCACTAGAAAGCTTAGCAAGAAACACCCGTTGCCCAGGAAAGAGGGAAGAGAAGGAATATTGTCAGCTCATTATAAGAAAAGGAGATCGGTGCAAAACTGGTGTCGGGGGGTGTCCCTTCCTGCAACGCAAATCCTTAATCGCTGTATGTTGTGTCAACATGCATTTGCCAACTCTAAAGGCTCACTGTTTTGCTCTTGTTTAGGCAACATTCCTGTTGTGGTAAGTGGTATAAGAACTGTGGAACGAGGCTCTAGGTTTTGGTATCGGATGTATAGCTTTGCTGTGCTCAGGAAGTCGTGACGCAAGTCATGGGTTGGGTCTGAGGTTTTGGAAGCCTTCTGTAAAGGCAGTTGGTGCTTCCCTCGCCCTGTGGTAGTGCTTGGAGTGGCAGCGACAGTTGGCAAAGCGGGGAGTGATGCAGCCTGAAGAGAAGATGCCTGTCCGATGTATGGGGAGGATTTTCCTGGCTCTGTGCATAATCCTTTTTATGGGATGCACAACACAAGGTAAAACTCCAAGCGGCTTGTGCAACGGAAGGGAGATACGAGGCGGTGGGGTGAAGGGCTTCTTTGGAGGATGCCCTCCTGTCATGACTGTTGTTCTTAGCGCTGTACGGTAATGCCGGCATCAGTAGGACACAAGGTCGCAGTAGGGTTGCCAGGTTAGCCACCACTGGGGGGGGGGTTGGGTTCCTCGCTGCGGGTTGGGAAACACCTGGAGATTTGGGGATGGAGCCTGGGGAGATCAGGGACCTCAGTGGGGTACAAGTGCAATACAGACAACCCTCTAAAGGATCCATTTTCTCCAGGGGACTGATCTCTGTAGTCTAGAGATGAGCTGTAATTTGGGGGGATCCCCAAGACCTGCCTGGAGGCTGGCATCCCTATGTCCCATTCTTCTACAGTAAATGGGAAGAGGGACAGCCTTGCTCTATGAGTGAGCCGTGTGTGTGGTAGCCCTTCAGATACATTTCTGTGTATAGAACACAGGTGTGTCTTTTCAGTCATTTATTTACAGTTCCCCGGAGGGTGAGATGATACCCAAAGCTCTAAGGAAAGGCATGCTTCTTGGTTGGAACGGCAGGACCGCACAGCTTTCCAAAACTTACATAAAGGGGGTGGGTGGTGGTGGGAAGAATTGAAGTAATAAAGAAAAATAATGAAATTGCAGAGGGTTGCTGCAGGAAGGGGAAACACGTTTGTGGATGTTCAAGGATTCTCTTTTTGTTTTGATTTGAAAGGTCACAATGTGCACACTTATGGAGGTATCAAGGAGGAGCAATCAGCCTTCATACACATATCTGTCTATCTGTCCACATATATGTATGTGCGTGTATGTGTAGTACAAGATGGTGTAGGTGTGGAGGGAAAGGAGCTGTTCCACTTTCAGCCAGTGAGGTCATGGATACGGTGATGCACACCCACGTTTCACACAACCCTCGCAAGCTACAGTGGAGATATATGCTAAAGCAAAGTGCCACATGATCAGCATTGCTATCTGGGTGCCAGGAAAATACACTATGCAGATCAAATGGGGGTAACTGTGGAGTAAAAAGTGGCATGCTTACTCAGATGTACAGTGGACATTAAAATAGGCCTGAGAAGCAGTGGGCTTCTGTCTTTTCAGACCTGTGACCCATCTTTAATCCCCCAGGTGGCACGGGACCCACAGCATCACAAGCATGTGGCTGGAAGTAACATGGCATTGCAGTCACAGGAGAGGAAGAGGTCTCCTGTTGAGAAAAGGAATCCTCTCCACCTCACCTGGCCAGTCTCCTGATCCTCTCAGCTCAAAAGATGTGGCATCCTTGCTCTCTGTGGGTGCACACTAGCAGCAATCTTTCCATAAAGAAACACACACACACACACAGAGCAAAAATATGGTGCATCTAGGAACTAGCAAAAGTAATGTCTGTGGGGCTCTGTGATCCACTGTGGGGCCCTGTCATCCCATGGTTTAAATACCACAGTCTTAGAAGAATATGCTATCATTCTAAGTATAAGTCTCAGACTTTGTAATCACAGACTTCAGGGTTGCAGAACTAAGCATAAATTCCAGATTGGCAAACACAATAGTTTCTGCCCTGATGTAAAAATTCTATTTATAGAACGTCAGTAAAACTATAGTATACACACTTCGTTTCAGGAGCTTAGCCCTTTGCACGATTTATAGAAAGCTACCGTACCCATGACTTCACTTAAGATGTGCGTACAGAGTGGGCAGGGGAGCGGGAATATGTTCTTCATCCCCCCCTCCAGTGTTGTATCTACCTGTCTCATGGACTGTAATGGATTTGCTTTGAGTGCAACTGATTACAGAATAGGTTTGCCAGCTCTAGGTTGGGAAATACCTGGAGATTTGGGGGGTGGATACTGAGGAGGGCAGGGCTGGGGAAGGAAGGATCCTCGGTGGGATATAATACCATAAAGCAAGGGTGTCAGACTTAAGGCACGGGAGCCAGAAGTGGCCCACCCATAGCTTTAGTCAGGCCTGCTGCTCTTCCCCCCTCCCCCCCCTGCTGTCCTGACCCTTTGAAACCTGAGGCTGCCAAAGTTCCCAGCTCCCTTCCTCTTGTCTTAGCCTGCTTCCTCAGGAAGCTTTTCTGGGCTTGCAAAGTTGCAAAGACAACATGGAATGGATTTTTTCATTAAGGTCTCTGCACCCAGATAGACTACTCTGGGATTGTTTCCAGCAATAGAAACAGTGCTCTGGGATTGTAATGACAGCCCCCAGGAGTAGAATGGTTCCTTCCTAGCAATAGAATCGGTGTTCTGGGACTGGAATGACAGGGCGCAGAGTGGAATGACAGCCCTGGGGAGTAGCAGCAGCATTCTGGGAATGGCATTCCACTCTGGGGGCCCTCATTCCAATCCAGAATACTTCTGCCCCTCCCAGGGACTGTCCTTTCACTTTGGGGGGGTGTCATTCCAGTCCCAGAGTAGTCTGTCTGGGCCCAGAGATCTTAATGGGAAATCCATTCCACATTTTCTTTGCAATTTTGTGCTGCAATGTGTTTCAGTGGAGTGGAGCTCAAGAAGTTTAACTTTCCAGTGTTTCTATAGTTGCAGCTGTTGCTTGCTGGAGTTGTCTCCTTGTAAATACAGGGTTGATTTTTTGAGCCATCTTGTTTCTGCTGAATGGACCTGAGAACGGGTGCCTGACTGAGTACTCTAACCTGGGAAACCACAGCCAGAGGGGGACATTACACTGGAGAGCCACTGCCACTCTGAGTAGACCTGTGGGGTAGGGGAGAGAGCTTGCAATGCCCAGCCATGTTATGTTCCTAGGCTCAGAGCATTTTATATTTTTAGTTTCTACTGTGATCCTTGTGCTTTTTTATGACGATTTATTTTTAAAAATTGCATTGCCAAACCCCACTATTCCCCAACCTTTCCATTTTAGGCAGGCATCTTTTAAGGGGGGGGGAGGTTTGGGGGGGTGTCAGTTATCAAAGACTGTTAAATGAACAAAATATTGCAAGAGTTTTAAGCATATTTGTATTTTAAGTAAAAAAAAAATATCTTCAATTGTGTTTGTATCTTTTATAAAGTTTATATCACTGCATTACATTTTATAACAAGCATGGCCTGGCCCCACAAAGTCCCATTTATGTCAGATGCGGCCCTTGTAACAAATGAGCTCGACACCCCTGCCATAGAGTCCCCCTTCTAAAGCGGCCATTTTCTCCAGGTGAACTGATCTCTGTCACCTGGAGATCAGTTGCAATAGCAGGAGATCTCCAGCTGCCACCTGGAAGGTGGCAACCCTGTTACCGAATATAGTATTGTGGCATGAAGCAGAACAGCAAAGTGTTAGTAAAGAAATTAAACTTCCTCTGTTGGGGCTTCAATTTTGACTTGTGGCATAAAAGGACATTTCGTAAGTGTAAAGAAATTGAGGGTTTATCTTCAATATGCCAAAAGTTACCACACAGGATACATAAAGAGCTAGAAGGAAATGTACCTAATGATCACACATCCTAGACGCATTTATCAGACCTCTGGTTTAACTTACCTTTTCCTGTTGGGCTGACGAAATCATGCTACATTCTGAATGGCTGCTGGTCTGATCTGTTCTCAAACCATGGAAACACCCCCCCCCCCCGGAGACGCAATAACTAACCACCTAGGCTGACAAAAAAACCCAGTGATTCTTATCTTATCTGGCTCACGGAATTAGTGTAATACTTACTTGGATATACATATGATGCTACTTATGTTTATGGCTATTGCAAAGAGGACTTCTTGAAACAGAGCAGCTAAGGAGATGAAGCAAAAAGGGCCAGACCTTATTTTTATTTAATAAAATTGTTCTGTGCTTCTTAGAAAGCTTGGAAAGCGATGCAGTTGAAGTGTGGAAGGAAGTAGAACGAAATAGATACCGCTAATACTCAGTGAAACCTGGGTAAACAAAGGATGAACACGGCCAGAAAGGTTTCTTTGTAATCCATTAACACTACTGAAGAGCAGGATAAAAGATTAATTCTTCAATTGCACAGCCATGTTTCAAATGCTTTGTTTGGCTCCTTTGAACATTAGAAAAGGGGTGCGTGTGCTGCACTGGAATGTTGTTTAGCTAAATGCGAAGGGATTCAACTGAGACACTTCAGTTAGAAAGTATTCTCTGCAGTGGCAACCATTTCCCACAATAAGTTAAAAGACATTTGTAAGGATGTCTTCTGTTCCAATAGCCTTTATCTTCTTAAATTGCCTCCCTGCCTTTTGCGTTGCTAGATTTGATAGTGGAGAGTAGAGGAAATATGGGCACACTGAATGTTTGTTGACCAGGGGATCAAATGTACTAAATTTTGTCCAGCCAGATCACACACCCTGTCCCCTGCCCCAGATACACTTTTTTCTGCTGACTGCTTCTCATTTCATAAGAAGAGCCCTGCTGGATCAGACCAGTGGTCCATCTAGTCCAGCATCCTGCCCCTCACAGTGGCCAACCAGTTCCTCTGGAGGGCCAAGAACAGGGCAAAGAGCCTGAGGCCTTCCCCTGTTGTTGCCTCGTGGCTCTTTGATTCAGAGGTTGTTAAGTCGCTCACTTAACAAAGCAGTCGGAGAGTGATTCAGCAAGAACACAACTTTATTCTTCAACTCGAACACAACTCCAACACGGATCAACATCTGATAGCCAGAACAGCTTTTACATTGCAGCTGTCCTGCTTTTAAACTCTCCCGGCTAATGTAGCCACGCCTACTGTACAATTACCAACCAATAAGGTTGTATGCATAAGGACCAATCACAGACGTTCCCGCTCAGGGAGCTTGCTGACAAGTGATTGGTAAGGTGCTTCCTGGGCTAGTAACACGATTGGATGGATTTGGATCCTAGCCCAGGATGAAGCTTTACATTACACTTCAATTAGATGTTTCACAACATATCATGCATTCAAGGCAGCTTTGAATACACTACAGAGGTTTAGTGCCTCTCTGAACGTGGAGGTTTCCCTTCATGGCTAGTAGCCACTGATATGCCTATCCTCCATCTTTGCTCCCTGCAGTTGAATAAGGTGGCTTCCTGAATTTGGGCTATGCCTGGCTATTACCACACAAGTATTTCTCCTCACCTGGGAAGCAGGAGACTCCTGGGTTAAAGGAAAACGTCTGCAACATGGTGCTCTGCTCCCTCATGTACAACTCGCAGCATTTTTTAGGTATCTGACAAAGGGAGCTTTGACTCTTGAAACCTCATACTCCCAAAAGTCTTGTTGGTCTCTAAGATGCTACTGGACTTGCATCTAGCATTTTGAGGGTTTCCCCTTTTAAGCTGGAGAAAAAACAACAGACCTGTTTTTCTCTTTAAAGGGGAGTCTGTGGGGGAGCTGCAAGTGAAGCATTCCATGCGGATTCTGCCCTCTCACCAGTTATGGGGATTGGGTTGGAGATGAGCTAGGTGCCCTGTGCCATCACTAGACCTTTAAAGGGCCTTTTCACTTTCCCTGCTAAACCATGCTGACATGGGATGGTAATTGGGAAAGGTATGTTTGCTGCTGCTGGGATGGGGCAGGGCGTGTTCTTGCTCCTTGTTCGGGAAACAGCTGGCATGTGAGGCAGGCTAACTGGTAGGCTGTTTGGATCTTTCATTGGACTATGCAAACCCTTCCAGGCCAAGGCTTTGCAATTAGTCTATAGAGATTAGTTCCCCTGGAGAAAATGGCTGCTTTGCAAGGTGGATTTTATGGCACTATACCCTGCTGAGGTCTCTCCCCTCCGCAAACTCCACCCATCCTCAGCTCCAGCCCCCAAATCTCCAGATATTTCCTAATGTAGAGCTGGCAACCCTAACCCCATTTTCCTGACTTTAAATGGCCTTGGGAGTGCTACCTGTCCTGTTGGGGAGCTGCATGTGTACTGATGTGCTACATGTGCACCCCCCATGAGTCAAACACTGTCCCCCCCCCTGCTGTTTCCAATTGGAAAAATGGTGCACTGTGATCCCAGTCCAAACTGGCATCCTGTACATTTGGTTGGGAAACCAGTTTCCTCACATTTGACGTGTGACTATCCAACTCAAAGTCAGGCCAGGGGTACCCAAACACAACATTAAAAATCGTAGCGTGTCATCTTGGCCCTCAGAACTAGTGGGAGTGGGGATAATTGTGATTCCGTAAGGTAGTTTTGCTTAAGCAAAGACAAATCAGCATGTGGGATGAATTGCCAGGCTTCCCCCACTGAGCAGCCTTACAGTTTGAGAAACTATAGCCCAGGGTCCCCCCAGTGTGGCGCCTGTGGGTGGTGCCATGGGAGTAATTTCGTCGCTGCGCCAGCTATGCTGTGTGTGTCAGAATTCCAAAGGTGCCTGTAGGTTCAAAAAGGTTGGGACCCCTGCTGTAGTCATGTTGAAAGGCAAATGAACACATGCAGAAGGGATCGGGGGCTGCAGTGGTAGCCCCCCCAAAAAAATAATACTGCACATCCATTTATAGATTGGAGCAGAGCCTACACATGTGTAACTGTGACTGGAAACCCTTACAAAGCAGAGTGCTCAGCCTCATGGGAAAAGTTCTACAATTGTTCTTGTGACTACTCTGTGCTGACCTTTAAATGCATACGTGTCAGCTGGGGGCTGGTCTTGCTCTCTGCCCCTCCACATTCAGCCTATGTATATGGACTACGTGAGAAAGATATGTACTAAATACAAGTGTCCACCAAGGTAACTTCTTATCTGGAACCCACAGAAGGAAAAACACCTGTGGGTGAGATTTCTGAGCAGAAAAACAGCTGTCATGGAACGGGTCATGCACTCGCTCTCCGTGCTGCCCTTCTGAATAACAGGAGACAGTGGTTGCAGCAGGTAGCCTTATTACTCCAAAGTAGTATCAGCCTTATTAGTCCAAAGAAATATCCAGAAACAAAAACCATGTGATATCTTTTATGAGGACCACCCAAAATGACACAAAAGAGTGTGGAAAGCTGGAGAACTTGAACGTTTGCGCACTTGTTTTGTGTTCGTCAGTCCTCATAAAAGGAGCTTATTCTCTTCTTTCCTTCCCAAGACACCTTTGCTGTCTCTGTCAGTTGCCATGTGACCACAAGTACACCCTCAGAGCAAGAATATGCATCGCACAACTGATAACTACTGTCTGAGTCAGTGTTGTGTGTTTGTGGAGGTTAACCAAGACATTTAGGAAAATAGAAAACAGCTATTGACCTATTTTGGGGGGATGTTCTTTGGAATTCCATAATTCCTTGATCATCATCCATGTCCCCAAGTGAACTGGTGCTATATTACAAGTGGTGGCTTTCCTCATTCCAGACAACTCCTGACCAAGGTCTTGTATGGCCCGGTTAGTGTGCAGTGGCTCAGGCAGAAAACTAACAATAGTTTTTGGTTGAGACCAGTAGGCACCATTGCCCTGGTTGCTAAAACCATTCTTTCAAATCCATCGGCTTCAGTCAGAATAGATCTTGGTGTATGTGCAGTGGCTCCATACTTGGAAGAACTTTCTTGAGATCAAGATGATTTTAAATGGATAAACCATGAGCTTGCACCTGCCAGTTCTGCTATGTTAATCGAGAGATTGTAGATCTTACGACTCATTTTCATTCTGTTGATGTATCACTATTGTCTCGCCTGGTTACCGCCTGACCTTTCAGTCTTAGCCATCATGTTTTGAACTACGTGCAAGAGCATTACAGCATTTGAAAACTGGATACCCTGTGAAGCTAAGCAGTGATACACTATAGAGTTGTGTATGTGAGAGATTAAGTTTCATCTTGAGGAAACCACAGGGTGTTTCCCTTCAGACCTCAGCACGGGACATCCTTCTTTGAAACTCTAATACTGAACTTTTCAGTTCTATTTCTGCTTATTTATAATACTTGGTTTAATGATGACAATAATATTATTTAGTAAGGATTATGAATATACCTAATATATAAACATTTCCACCAGGGGTCCCTGTTGAGACGGGCAGGCACACGAGGGTCAGATGCAGACCTGATGCCCTTTCCTCAAATTGTCTTGAAGAACAAGGGGAACGGATTGTAATTCCTGATGGAGCTGCTAATATGCCCCTCCCTCCCCACGCTGATCCAATGGTGTAAGTAAAATGAATTTTCACCAACAAAACCAGTTTCGTGTAGTGGTTAAATGCACGGACTGTAATCTGGGAGAACCGGGTTTGATTCCCCACTCCTCCACTCACAGCTGCTGGATGACCTTGGGCAAACCATAGTTCTGTCAGAGCTGGTTCTTGAAAAGAGTAGTTTCTGTCAGAGCTCTCTCAGCCCCACCTACCTCACAGGTGTCTGTTGTGGGGACGGGAAGGGAAAGGAGTATGTAAGCCGCTCTGAGACTCCAAGTGAAGGGCAGAGTATAAATCCAATCTCCTCCTCCTCCGCTTGCTGGCCTTAGTCAATCTTGAAAATATTGAATATTTGCATATAGGGCTGGATCCAAATTAAATTTTCCATTAAGGCACTTCCTTAAAGGTGCTTTCATGGAATGGAACTTTTCCACCTCCACCCACCCCAACAACAATCAATAACCATCTCCAGAAGGATTTATTGAAAAGTAGAACTGGCAAAAGAAGTGTTTTGATGTGTGTTCTTTGCTCTGAAAATTGCTAACCCAGTTCAATTTTGTTCCTAACTGTTGAAGGAAGAGGACGGACCAGAAGCATGTATTTCATTTCAGTATCATAAAACTGATTCAGTCTGTAATGTGGTCTCATTTCTGCGGAGCAGATTAGGCAAAGCATGACTTCCAAGGTTTTAATTTTTAAAAAATTATTATGTGTTTCAGGATGAAGAAATCTCAAGAGCACCCTGATTCCTCTGGGCTTTCTGAAGACGAATATGGATCAGGAAGCGAAATGGAACTGGAGCCTGGGTCAGGCATGGATGACAGTGCGGAGGGCTTCGCCATTCCTGATTCTGTTCTGCACCAATCAGACCAGGATCTGAGCCTCAGATTAACAGACGAAGGCTTATTCCTGCAAAACGAGCGGCTGTGATCTCAGCCATAGCCAGTTGCTGCCACTTTCTTTCCCCTGCGCCTTTTGTGTTTGATGACTAAAACATTACACTCAGAAGAAAGATTTGTGCTTGTGTGTAAATGCCTCAAACCCTTTGTGTGCCTTGAAATATTTACTGCTTTTCTTTTATCTAAATCTACTGAATGCAAGCTCTTCCTTTTAAAAGGTGTAGACAGGTTTAATTGGTTATGGGATCATAAAACTGTTTATGAAAGTCAGACATTTGCTTGCTAAGTGAGGAAAGAATTAAGTACCACAAATTTTAAAAAGTTAAACAACAACAGTGGAGTATCAATAATGAAACGCTGGGCAAATGCCCTTTAAATCGTTCCTTTCACTTGGGTCCATTCCTCTCTACTCCCGAGCAGCTCCCCTTTCCCCACAACCCTATAGGCAAATCAGGGAGAGCACATTCCACATCCCTGTGTTCTTGTGGAGTCTTCTGAGATGCACTTCAAGTGAACACTGCGAGCAGCTAGATCTGTGTATTCCCTCCAGTTCATCAGACTCTCCTTTAATGATGCCACCTCGAGGATGTAATCCCCTACAATGAAAGGAGCAAATGAACATATTTGAATGTTTGCGCTAGTAAAAAAAATAAAAATAAAAAAGTGGTATTCCAGGTCACAAAAAACCTGTTACTTTGTTCCCATCTGAAACTTACTTTGAACTTGAGGAGCTACACATTTTACATATCCAAATCTTTTGTTCGATTTTAGCCGTTTCCGCATGTAAGCTTGTGTTTGCAGAGACACACTTCTCAAATCTTTTGTCTTAAGACAAGATACTTGTTGGGCTGCCCCCTGGTGATGCGCATTTTTAAAACCTATAATTCTAATAAATCTAGCTGCACCTAAAGACTATTTCTTATAACGTCTTTATTTTATTTATTGAATTTATATCCTGCATTTCTCCCTCAGTGGGGACCTAAAAAGGCTTACATCATTCTCCTCTACATTTATTCTTTGCTTGACAGAATATTCTTACTATAATGAAAGACATGCTTTATCAACACACCATTGAAAATTGTAATGCCTGTGAAAATGTTGAAAGCTAAGTTTCAAGCGATCTGTTGTTGCAACAAATCCATATGTTCAAGAAATTGATGTATACGTGAAATGCATCTTTCAAGGCCACTTTACCTACAGAATGGCTCTTTGGGAAGAGGGGTGGATTATACAATCGGTTGTTCTCTCTCAAGAATGTGGAACCAAGCCAGCGGTGCAAGATACAAATGCACCCTAGGGTTTATCACGCCATTTCTCTTCTAGACACAACCCCACCAAATACTCAGTCTGCTTGGGGCTGATTCACGTTACCAAGTCCTTGTGGCTGCCTCAAGGCCTTTGGATCACATGTGAGCTGGGATTGTGTGCAGGCTCTCAAATCAGATCAGGCATGGAGAAGGGCTTCAGCGGACACCCTGGGCCATGTTCCCTACCTGAAATGGCTGCAGATTGGGGCTGATCAGGGTATGAGAACAGCATAGGTGTGTGTATGTGAAGATCCTTACTCACATGTGGCGCCATGGTCCTGATTTGAATCCCCTCCCACCACACACACTACAGAAACCCAGAACTCCCAACGCATGTGTGATCCAAAGCCTCATGGCAGCCTTTGTAACATGCGTATCGGCCCTAGTTCATTCTCGTAGTTTCTCATTTTCACACACACACTTGCAATGTAAGTGGAAGTCTGCTAAATCAGTAATGGGACAATCCTTACACATTATGGCCTCTGACACTCATATTTTACACCATTTCATTCTTTCGTATAAAGAGTGATAAGTCAACTAAGATTTATTGGAGAGAGTTGACTGGTTCTTTACCTTTCTCCTAGTAGACATTATTTTTATTTCGGTGGACATGATACAACCAAAAGTTAAGCCTAGAGCTCAGTCTTGGGTAGGCTTTTCCACTGGTGGAAGAGAAAGGAGAGGTGATCTTGCCAGATTCCTGCTCACTGCTGGATTCTGTCCTCCCTGCTGCTCCTCTCCAGTGTGGTCCCACAGTTCCCAGCTGTTGCCCTTTGGAGCCTCCATTTCCTGCTGCAGAAGTAGAACAGCCTGGTAGGATCTGTAAGGCGCTTGGCCCCTGATCATGAGGTTCTGGCCATGACAAAACGAACTGTGGATATGTCCAAAATGGATCTTCATGGCTGTGACCAAGTACTCAGCAAGTTCTGGAGGAGGCTGACCCCACCCCCTGCCTTTGGCTGGAGAGAAGGACAGCTGGGGGTCTGTGTGAAAAGAAAGGACAGGTTTTGAGTCAGGAAGAGACCGAGGTAGACAGACTCTGCTCTGAGTGAGATTAGCCACCTGGATGCCCAGGATCTCTCTCTTTGGTGGTGTGGGGTGGCAGCAGTTCTATTGACCTGAAGAAGTGCCTCTGTGCTTCCACCTGCAAACTCTACCTGTATATTTGTACATAAAGCAATGACTAAAAAAAGGGCAAGTTGTCCCCCCCCGGAACTAATTCAGTTAAGCACTAGCCCGTGGAATTTCTCACCACTTGGTAGCATTGCCAGCTCTAGGTTGGGAAATACCTGGAGATTTTGGGGGTGGAGCCTGAGGAGGGCGGGGTTTGGGGAGGGACTTCAAGGGGGCATCATGCCATAAAAGTCCACCTTCTAAAGCAGCCATTTTCTGCAGGTGAACTGATCTTTGTTGCCTGGAGACCAGTTGTAATCCTAGCAGATCTCCAGCCTCCACCTGGAGGTTGGCAACCATACTGCTTGGAGGTGTGGTGCAGATACAACCCACTTAACAGGCAGTTAACTCTCTCCCACTGAAATAAGTGAAATATAAACTACTAGCTTAAATTTGGCTGGGTTGTAGCTGATGTATACTGATTATACACCAGCCCAGTAGTCTGCCACCAACCCTTTTGACTATTCCTACAGTTAGAAACCAAAGGGGGCAGGTTCCCAGCCATCCCGGGACTAAACAAGAATGTCCTCCCTGCAAGGTAGGCTTGCAGAATGAGTTTCTCAAAAAAGTCAGTTACTCTGGAAGGTGGTCAGCCAGTCTAGGCTTCTGGATTTAGACTGAGGTGAGTTGAAGTCAAATAACCACAAAAGTAATTTAAAAATATTTTTATGGAGGTGCAAGAATATTCCTCAAAAGAAAAGAAAATGTGAGGATAAAAATTAGAAAGCTAGGAGTTCACATGCTAACTAAAACAGTAATTCAAAGGTTCCAAATATCTGATGTTACCATTCTCAGCTGAAGGAAGTTCCAGTAATCCAAAAGTGGCTCTCTCCTGTGATTCAGCATAGCCAGAAAGCTCTCGCAAGCAACATTCAAGATGACTGCTGCGAGCATGAAGTTGACTGCATGTCAGAATCTCAAGCAGTCGGCATCAAGCTAGAGGACAGACTAGCAACCTACTTCTTACGGGCAAAGGGACCCTCATGGCCTCAGGCCTAAAAGCCAATCCCTTAGGCCAACAGGAAACCAGATGACCTAAGCAGTAGTCTGACCAGGGGGAGAAGAAACAAAACTATCTGCAGCCAGAGTTGTCCCTGTTCCCACAGGTGCTTAATTGAATGGAATGTGGCTAATTGGGAGCTGGTACCCCTTCTGCAGATGGTGTTATCTGCAATTTCACAAGGTCAGTTTGCTCTAGCTTCAGCAACGCTGTTTCTGAACTGTATTAACCCACAAAGCAGGCCACAGTCAAAGCCTGAACCAAACTTTCAAACAGACAAGAAATTTTAGGGAACCAGTTCACAAATTGAAATTAAAAAATAAAATTGAAAACATAGGAGAAAAGATAAGTTTTGTCGTTTGCTATGTTTATCTCTGCATCTACCTCGCAAGTATGTTTATTGAGAGCAATAAATATTTTATATTATATAAATACATGGTGGTTCTCAGTTCCTAACTGTAGCTTCCCTCCAAGCTCTGACTCCCTGAAGCTCCTCCTAGTTGTCCTGCCTCAGTTTGCTTTTATCATCCTAACTGCTTCACAATTAATCATAAATGAAAGTATCACCCAAAAAATAATTACCGTAACTGTATTCTCCTGGGTAAGTGTAAGCCCCTGTGATGACAACTGGATCAGAGCTATAATGTACACACTAACTGTTGATAATATAGGGGATCACTGTGACTTCGCTCATACCTCATAGCAGGGGTCATTTCCTAGAAAAAGAGCTGCAGGAGCTCATTAGCATGACTTATTAGCATATGCCACACCCCCTAACATCACCGGAAGTGTGCACCAGCCCCTCTGACAGGCAGAAGCACCTGGGATCCATTCTTTCCTCCCTCTCCCTTCCCTTCGCCTCCAAGTTGGGTGAAGGAAATGGGGAGGGGGAGGATCTCAGGCGCCACAGCCAGCCTGGGTGAATGATAGAATCATAGACTCATAGAGTGGGAAGGGACCTCCAGGGTCATCTAGTCCAACCCCCTGCACAATGCAGGAAATTCACCAATACCCCCCACACACCCCAGTGACCCCTGTTCCACACCCAGAATATGATTTTAAAAAACCCTCCAGGATCACTGGGGGCCAAACTGGCCTGGAGAAAAATTGCTTCCTGGCCCCAAAGTGCCGATCAGCATTTCCCTGGGTGTGTAAGAAAGGGCCACAAGAACTAAGCACTGATGCAACCCTTCCTGCTCTACCTCTCATGATTTGCCTAAGTTCACACGATCAGCATTATGATCCTTTTACAGTTGAAAGCATGATATAAATGCATATTGGTAAGATTATCTGTAAGACACAAGACCAGGACGCATCTCACTTCTGGCAATCACTTGGAGAGACCCTATCACTCAGCTTCCATTGCCCCACACACACCCCACACTGGAATAAGAACATAATATCAGGCCATACCACATTGTAATAAAGCCCCTACAACTGTATACAGAAATACTGAGCTTCCTTACCATTTGCCACA